CTTTCTTTCTTTCTTTCTTTCTTTCTTTCTTTCTTTCTTTCTTTCTTAAGATAGATCTTGTATCTGTTTACCTCTGTGTCAGCCTCTGTATTCATTTCCAAAACTTTCCTTTGGGGACCCCACTTTGCATTCTTGACCTCATGAAATGAAGTATTAAAGGAATCCTGAAAGATTTGATTTAGTTAAAACCCTAAACTAAATATATCTGTAAATAAACAAATACCTTTTGAATACCGATTACACACAAGTAATTGTCTAAGAAATTATAGGATCTGGTCACAAATAAGATGAAAGATATATAAGATATATCCAAAGATATATAATATATATATTCCTCCAATCCCCAATACATTTCCAGCAATTATTTCCTTAAACACGCACACACACACACACACACACACACACACACACACACACGTGCATACCCTGCTAATCAGATTATTTCTCTACATTCAAAAATAAATAGCAAAAACAAACATGGCTCCATATCTTATAAAACATAAATCGCACAGCCCAGATATGTTCTGAAATTTCATTCAAGCTTCTTCATCATCTGGACCTATTCTTCTAGATTTATCTGCCAACTCGCCTCATATTTGATGCTCACTGCATTTCCTAACTGTCCAAATGGCTTAAGATTCACCATGCATGAAACGTTACATATCTTTGTCTGTTATACATCTATCGCCTTTTCTTTACATATTTGTACACACTTATCTTTAAAGTCCAGTTCAAATGCATCATTTCTGTATTTTCCACCGCCTTTCAACCATAGCATACAAAATAAATCCTACTCCAAATTCTCTGAAACCACAGCATTTTTAATAATGCAACACAAAACTATCCTCTACATAATCAAAGACTGCTGTCTGACCATAAAGAAAAGAATATTTCATTGTCTTCATTGTCAGATGATTTATAAGTTAATCTAATTACTTGTTAGGCAATCATGAATGTAAGTGACAAATAAGGACAAACACTAAATTTTGTGAAATTTTAGAGTAAATTGACTGTTCTTTCTTTGATTGGTCAAAAAAAGAAGTTAAGAAAGGAGATCTTAGGATTTTAAATAGGCCCCAGAGCCTTACTCTATTCAATATTGAATTAATAAAAGACACATATTTTAGTACTAAGTTTGTTTGGCTTGAAACATATTGCCTTCAATGTCCTTAGATATCACTCTCTAGTTTGTTAAATCATTCCACTGAGATTACTTTCAGGTCTACTTTCTTGTGTGAAATTTATGAAAACTCTTACATTAAAAGGAAAGCAATTTCAAGCCATTCTCTACAAATGTCTTCTGCATTCATTTGACTTTTTTTCCACATTGAAAACAAGTGAACATCCTAATTACTTTAAATTTAAAGTATTTAAATTTCTTGGGGCACCTGGGTGGCTCAGTCGGTTATGCATCCGACTTGGGCTCAGGTCACGATCTCGCGGTTTGTGGGTTTGAGCCCCACATCCAGCTCTGTGCTGACAGCTCAGAGCCTGGAGCCTGCTTCAGATTCTGTGTCTCCCTCTCTCTCTACCCCTCCCCTGCTCATGCTCGGTCTCTCAGAAATAAATAAATGTTAAAAAAAATTCAATTTATCCTTTCTCATGTTACTATGTTTAAACTATTCTCATGTAAAATGATGATCATTTTCCTATATATTCCTTTTAACTGTGGTTATAGCACAGAGAGAACCAAAGAATATTTGGGAAGAGTGTGCTCCCCTTTTATTTGGATCTTTGGTGATTTTAATGCTTCATTAAGATTTAAAGAAAGAGATTAATAATTAGTACGGTGTGGTATTAATTTTTGATTACTCATACTTGTAGCATAGATAATATTTAAATTGCTGAAATCATGGTTTTGCAGAAAAGACAAGTTGCTGGTTACAAAAATTAATTCTGAAGCGTAAAGCTCTTTTATACTATCAATATAAGATCTGGAATGAAACCCTACTCCAAAATTTTGAGGCCAGAAATTTTAAAAGTATCTGAATTTCCTATAAAAATGTGAAGATTTTACAAGATAAAGTGAGATTTTTACATATAGAAATTCTGAATATTGATGAAAACAACTTGAAAGACAGAACAGATGACAAAAGGCATTAGTATTTGAGATATCCAATGCTTAATTTCAAACTTTTAAACCTGAAAAATGTTATCTAAAATTTGTATAGAATTTACTCAAATCTGATACTTGAAATTAACTGACAATGTTATAAAACTAGATTAAAGTGTAACATTTTTTGAATAAATATATCTCTTCAAGGAAAAGTTAAAAACAGAAAGAAACCATGTAATTTTTTTTTCATTTATTAACTGAGTATGCGGAGGGAGTTTGAATAAATATCACAGCAAGATCCAGAAAGCCACATTAGCTTAATTACATTTGCCTTATCTCTTTAACCTTTTCTTTCTGAGCTATTATATCAATAGTTAATCTTAATTGATCACTGATTGAGAACTGAGAGCATGAAGCTTGTTTTGAATACTGCCTAAGAATAGATCTAATGGTTACAGAGCAGAGAGTGTCAAGGCAGTGCTTTAATTATTGTCTTCAGAAGGTTAACTGTAAGTGTCTACATCTCAGAGTTCAGATTCCTGCCATCAGCAAAGGAAAAGCAGCCTATCACTACCTGCCCAAGAAACAACTGAATTACACTCTGCCATATTAATATTAATAAAGACAAGAAAATTTGAGACTGTGTCCCTGTTTCCGGTGTCAGAGCTTCATCTAAAGTTTGCCTTTGAAAGGAGACCTATCCAATTGAACAAAAGTAATATCCACTAATTATGAGGGGCTAGTCAAGGTGTCACGAAAATATAAAAGCAGAAAATCAATTTCTGTTCTTAAGAAAGCACACAGTCACTAGGTCTTCTCGAATCTGCATGTAAATTAAAACAGTGCAAGAAAAATATGATGAAGATGCTCAAACATATAGATTTCATGCTAAAAGAAATGATTAGTACTTAAGTTTCATGGTTGTGTCATCTTTATGTCAACCGCCTAAAAGTACATAAACATTTGAATATTTTGATTTGTAAGAAAACATATTTAAAAAAAAGAATTTTAAAAAGAATTAAAATTTTGAATTATTAAGAGATTAAAATATAGGCATTAACGATAGTTAAATGTCACCTACCATTGAAAAGGCTGGCATCCTTTAAAACTCCAACATGCTATTGAGTTCCAAATGGACTGTATTCCCAAAAAGAGCCAAACAAAGCTGGAAAAACAAACATACACAATGATGTTATTTTTTTTTAACTTAAATTCAATTTAGTTAATGTACAGTGCAGTCTTGGCTGCAGGAGTAGAACCCAGTGATTCATCTCTTACATATGACACCCAGTACTCATCTCAAATCATGCCCTCCTTAATGCCCATCATCCATTTAACCCATCCCCCTACTCACTTTCCCTCCAGCAGCCCTCAGTTTGTTCTCTGTCTTTAAGAGTTTCTTTTGGTTTGCCTCCAACTCTGTTTTTATCTCATTTTTCCTTCCCTTTCCCTGTGTTCATCTGTTGTGTTTCTCAAATTCCACATATTAGTGAAATCATATGATATGTCTTTCTCTGACTGACTTATTTGGCTTAGATAATACCCTCTAGAGATATTATGCTAAGCAAAAATTTTATATAAATATATATATATGTATGTATATATATGTATGTATGTATATAATATATATTAGAATATTTCACATTTACTTAAAAGCTACAGAGATTTTTCAGAGTTCTCATAAACTCCAATTTCTTCTGTCATTAGCATTTTACATTAGAATGGTTTAACTGTCACAACTTTTGATGCATTGTGATATATGGGCTTAAACGAACCAATATTGATATATTATTCTTATTTCATGAGTTTTTACCCCAATGTCCTTTTTCTGTTCCAGATATCGCCTTGAATTTAGCCTTTATGTCTCCCCAGCCTGCTCTGAGAGGTGACAGTTTTTCAGATTTTCCTTGGTTTTGATGACCTTGAGAGTTTTGAAGAGTAATGCTGAGGCATTGCAGAATGTCTCTCAATTGGAATTTGCCTGATTTTGTTTCTTATGACTAGATAAGTGGGATGTATGGTCTAATTTTTCTCACTAGACTCATTTTTGGAGGGAAAACCATACAGGCAGGGTCATCCTCTTAACTTCCTATTGAGGATGCAGGAAACCAGCCTGACTTCTATTCTGTTCCACACTGTGCCTTTGGAAGCAAGTCACCAAATACAGTCCACACTCAGGGGAAGGGAATTATGTTCCACCTCCTTGAGGGTGAAATGTTTGCAGGATTTATTTGGAATTCTTCTGCAAGAAAGACTTGTTTCTCTTCTCCCAGTTTGTGTGCTTGTTTGTGTCTTCAATCATTCATTAATTCGTTCAGTGATTTGTGTACCTCATTATGAATTCATAGATGTTTATTTCATATTTTGTGTCATAATCCGAAACTACATCATTTCTTTTGTTGTTCAAATTGTTCCAACTTTGGCCTTTGTGAGCCCTTGCACTTGGTTTTGTGACCTTTTGACATATCACATAAAACTATTCATTGAGCAGTTACTTACATTCTGGCATTAAAGTAAGAAAGAGATTCAAAAGAAACTCTAAGCCATCCCAAACCTTTACATTATATTAGAGGGACACCTTGGTGGTTCAGTTGGTTAAGTATCTGACTCTTGGTTTTGGCTAGGGTCATGATCTCATGGTTATGGGTTCGAGCCTGACATCAGGCTGTGTGCTGACAGTGCAGAGCCTGCTTGGGATTCTCTCTCTCCTTCTCTCTCTCTGCACTACCCCACTCAGGCTGTCTTTCCTCACCGCCCCCCCCCACCCCAACCTGTGTCTCTTTCTCAAAATAAATAAACTTAAAAAATAAAATAAATAAAATAAATTTTATTAGAAATGTTGGCTAAAATGTATCAAAATCTATATCAGTTTCCTGTGGCTGTGACAATAAATGACCACAAATGTAGTAGCTTAAAGGAACAGAAATTTATTCTGTCACAGTTTTAGAGGTCAGAAGTCTGAAATCAAGGGGCAAGCAGGGCTCTCTTCCATCAGAGGATCTTGAGAAGAATCCATTCCTGGTCTCTTCAAATGTCTAGTGATTGTCAGCATGCCTTGTGCCTATGGCCATATCATCCCAGTCTTCAAGGCTGGCATCTTCAAACGTTTCCCTCCTCTTTCACATCCCTTTCTCCTCAGCGTGGGCCAAAGCTCCCTATGCTTATAATCGTATATAGACGGTCTCTCACTTATGATAGTTCAACTTATGATTTTTTTTTACACTATAATGGTGCAAAAGTGATACACATTCAGAGGAAACCGTATTTTGAAATCTGCAATTTTGATCTTTTGTTGACGAGTGAGATGCCTAGGATCCTGTTCCAGGAAGCTGGGCGACAACAGCCAGTGCAGCCCCCAGTCAGCCATCCGTGGGGGTAAACAAGTGATACCCTGGTTGTCATCCTGCACCCACAAAGCTGTTCTGTTATTGTCTTTCAGTACAGTATTCAATAAGTTACATGAGACATTCCAAACGTTATTATAAAATAGGCTTGGCTTTAGAGGATTTTGCCCAACTGTAGACTAATATAAGTGTCCTGAGTATGTTTAAGGTAGGTTAGGCCAAGATATGGTGTTCTGTAGGCTAAGGGTATTAAATGCAATTTTGACTTGTGGTATTTTCAACTTGTAATGGGTTCACTGAGATGTAGTCTAGGACAATCTGTGTGTGATTGCATTTTGGGCCCACCTAGACAATCCAGCATAACCCTCCCATCTCAATATCCTTACCTTAATCACAACCACAAAGACCCTTTATTGCCACAAAGAAAATGTATAGGTTTCATGAATTAGGAGACAGCCATATTTTGTGAGGTTATTTTTTTAGCACACCATAGACTACCTTGTAGACTTGCTTCCTATCTCCTTCCATAGAGGAGAACAAATTACAAGAATAAAACAATTTTCTCAAGAGTCTATTTCACATGAGGCAGGGTGTATAACCCTGATAGCATTAGAAATATAATCAAACACAATGAAAGGATATTTTAAAATATTGCTTAAGATGATATAGGACAGGCATAATTTTAACTTCCTTAGAGCAATAGATATTATTTAATTATGTAACTTAAATAATCATCTCCCTCTTTTCCTTATAGACTAGGACCATGGATAACTTACAATTATGTTGTTTTTCATGAAATAAAACTATAGAACTGAAGTTTCAGAATTATGGCTCCACCATCTTTAGAAAAAAATTCATAATTAAGCAAACCATTAGACAAATTTTAAAGGAAATGCTTTGTGAATTCTACTGCATACTGCGTTTGTAAATTATTATTACTGGTACAAAATATCTTATGCCCGGTCAATTTTTAAGGAAACTTGACATAAGAAAGGAACTAGCAATAAAGTAAGAGGAGTGGGAGCTGATTAGTTGGGAAGTTATCAGAAACATACAAAAGCATGAATGACTTCAGTGAGGTTTAAATTCCCAGCATTGGTAAGGGAATCCAGACCTCAGGCACAAGAACTAAAGGAACAAGGAATGAGATACTTGAACCCAAGAGGTATGTAAAAAGGATTGTCCCATCTATGGGATGGGAATTTAAAAAAACTTCTGCACATCAGTTTGTGAAGCTGTACAAATATTAGCTGCTCACCAAGGATCATAGAAAAGAGGTCACCAGTAAGAAGGCAGATGGCAAGCATAGACTTCGTGGGTATAAGACATCCAGATTCACACACAGGTATGGTGTGGGGACTTGAACCCAAGATATTATAGCACTGGTGAAACTATTAGAGTTTTAGCTGAGCAAATACAAAAATGTCTTTAAGGTATTCTTGCATAATCTAAGGGATTAGACTCCCATAGTAGGGAAAAAATAATAAGAGAAAGGAAAACACATGAATGAACATCAGCAGAAGCAATAAAATGGAAAATTTGTTTCTTAAGAGCTGGAAATAATAGAACATTTTGTAAAAGATATATGTAATGTATTTAAAGTCTTCAGAGTCAAAGAAAGAAAGAAAGAAATGTTTCCTTTATCAGAACATACACAAAAATAACTTTCAGTTGTGTAGAGAAATAAAGCCTTAAAAATGTGAAAGAAAATACACAGCATATTTTTATGAAATAGGAAAAAAAAGCTTTTCTTTAAACAAAATGTTAAAAGCACAAAGCAAAATAATGATACATTTGAGCTAAAATTTAATGTATTCAAAATTTAACTTTACTAACAAAAGGAAGCTATGTCAGTAATTGTGACAAGATTTGTAATTTATGAAACAAAGTTTAGAGAATAGATTATATAAGAATTTTAATATTTAAAAAATGAATTTGTGGGATTCCACATCAGCCATCATTGGGGAAATGCAAATTAACATGGCAATGACATATTATTCCATCCTCAATTAGATTAGTAAAAATATTTTTAGTTAAATATAATGCCTGAAATGATCAATAATAAACAAAGATGTGGAGTTATATAGTGTTGGTGGTGAAAACTGATAAAACCACTTTGAAAAAACGTTTGGCAATAACGAGTAGAGGTAAAAATTCAGGTAACCTCTTCCCTAGCAATTTCCCTTCTGTATAACCATGCTAGACAAAGTCTTTCACAAATGTGCAAAGAAATAGGCAAAGGAATATTTACTGAAGCTTTGTTCAAATTCCTAAAAGAATTGGCATTTTTGAAACTCATAACAAATGCACATGCAAACACAACCAATTATTGTCCATATTTCAGATATTAAGTTAAAAATGTTTTACTTGTAATTTATTGGAAAATATTTATTTTTGGTCTATATTTGCATGTGTGTGTATAATTGCATGCATGGGGGTTTGTGTTTGTATGCGGAGTGTGTACGATATTAGACACAGCAATTTTCTTTATTATATCGCAATCATGATTAAGAATATTATACCTAATTTATTCAAGAGGAACAATCACAAAAACAGATCAATATTACTAAGAGGACTTATGAGTATATAAATATTTGAAAACACAGTGGGCAGGTACCACACACTTTAATAAAAAAGGACAACACTAGAGTCAGGAGAAATATATGTAGTTAAGGCTCTTAGGTGACAAAGTAATAAGATCAGATACCACTTTATTAGTAAAGAGGATATACCAAAGGATTAGATACTGTTTTGTGTTCCTCTACCTGCTTCTGGCATAAAGATAAATCCCCTTATAAGCAGCTAACCTGCTTCATTGCAG